TTACCTTGTCTGTAATAATTTTCATTACACCTCCCTTTACAATAAGGAAGATCAAGGCAGGTCAGGATAAGATTATACAGCTCTTGCTAGACTGATCCTATAAAACTGTAAAGAAAGTTCCCATTCATTTTTGGAAATTCATTTTCTTACACCACGAAATATTTTTTATGATCATTCCTGGTAGACACATTTTCATTATCAATTTGCTTGGAATTGTAGCACTGTAAAAAAATAAGGCAAGTGGCTAGAAACTTTCTAACAACCTGATCTTACAGTAATCGTTATTCACCTTTCTAGCATCGCTAGAGTGTAAGTCAACTTCCACTATGCGCCGAAGATTCGTCTATGAACAAAGGTGGAACTTATGGATAAGGGAGAAGGTTTGTTTGGGATGGCTTTAAAGATATAGCGATAACCAGTTTGGCAACAGGGGCGGTAAACAAAGTCCACAAACAGCGTTTCGTAGCATTTTTTTCGAGGGAAGCTTGGAAAATTTTCCAAACACCTACTCTCTTGCTTTTTTTTCATGCTTGGCAGGCAGAACAGACGATTCTTTAGGAGGAATTTTCCTTTACAAGGGTTAGGAGCGTGTTTCGAGGAAAATTTCGAAAAAATAGCTCTTTTGTAGAAAATAAAGTCATGCCCACAGAGAAACCGGAAAGCAAAGCGGGCAGCTCCGAAATTCGATATATCGATCGAAAGGTCAGCTCACGTAAGTTACGGTAACGACGCGCGAATTTGAAGTATGGAGGGGAAAACAGTAAATCCGAATTAGTCCTCATATTTTGCATTTTCTGTTTTTACCTTGACAAGTTTTAATTGAAAAGTTCCTGGGTCAGAGCGATCTAGTCCCAGTTTGTATTCACTCTTGCTAGAAAGTAAGAAGAGCTTTGGAGACGATAATCGAAAGTCTAAGCAATGGGTTGCTGGACGTAGATATTCGAAATGAGCTCTGTTGAGTAGTTTTACTTACTGCTAGAGCGATGGCGCGCAAACTCAATACACGCGCCGGTGCTCCCCAGAGGATGCCACACCGAAGTGCTCAGCGATGGTATTGCAAAGTAGAGACAGCCGGCCGATGTGCCGGTGGCCAAGATGCACGTATTCCACGAATTAACGCCGTGCACGCTCCTTATTGCCGACATCGTTGCATCGCCCAGAGCTAAGGGACTGGCTCTTCACGTGAATATGAACATTCCTCTACCTCCTTAAACTCTAATTTACTGAAAAAAGCATCCATGCCAAATCTATGCTCCCCGATTAGCACGTAGTCTACAAGAAGGCCTTAGTAGTAGGACATTTGCATTGGTCCCGGTTCTCTAATGTGGTCTCTATGGAAGAAAATGGACCTGGAATCCGGTGAAGTGCTATCAAGCCACGCCGCCCTATCAAGCTCCGTCACACAGTATAGTCAATTCGTTGACCACACGGACTAGACATCACCGCGGAGCACCCGCCGAGAGGTAAGTTCCTTGCCCCAATACAAATTCTCCACTATACTGTCTCCACTTTTCTATTTCATCCAAATCGTACTCTCGCAACGCTTTAGCCGCGCCGCGCGTGGTCCGCAGCGTTGGAGCAGTCCATGCGCTCAACAAATCGACGATACTGGAAGTCCCTTGCGCCTTTAAAATGGGGCTCCCAGAAATCGGGTTTTTCGGCAGCTTCGCGCATTTTGCCCTCCATATCTGTAAACTACGTAATGACCTCAAATTGACAAAAACACAGAACACGGGAATGTGCTGGGGGCTCAGTGGATTTTTGATTACCGTGCTTCTGTCAAACACGGTTGGATCAAATTCTTTATTTCCGAGCCGAGTTCTCCGGCAAACCGCACAAACACTTCAACGAACACTACGAAAGAGCAGGGTTCTCCGGCTTAAAACTCAACCACAACTGACTCTCCAAAAGGGAGTAGCCAAAACTGTAAGTGTTCGGAAGGCTGCCAGCTGGCAGCCTCCTTTGTTGAATGCAATCGCAAACAAGGCAAAAACACTGTTTTGGGCAATCGCAAACAAGACAAAAACACTGTTTTGCGAACGGGGTTCGCGGAATCGTACAAAACATCAGCACAAGATCGTCGAACAACGATTACGGTAGCGTCGGCTACGACACTCCGGTCGAGGAAAATGGAAACAGAATAATTTTAGATAGATGTGGTTTTACAAGCTAGTAGCGTAACTTTAAGAAGCGGTGCAATAGCAGAACAGAATAATGGTTCAGATGGGTTAGCATATTCTCGGATAGCATGTATACAATCGATCGAGAGTGTTAACAGCAGCAGAGAGGAGCGATAAAAATGGGAAATCAAATATGAACAGTCGGTACACGGTTGAATGGGGATATGCAAAATAAGAAAAGGATGGAGGGAAAATGGGAATTAATAAAAAAAATGAAAAGTGAACGAAAGCATAATATCGGGGGAATTACCAGGTTGGCGAGACGACTGTGGGGCGACGGTGGATTCGGGAGTGCGACGGATTGGCGGTGGCTGGCTTTGCGAGTAGGGTACAGCTGGTTGGTGACGGCGATTAGTTTGCAGTTGTTTACACATGTGGCGACGGTAGTGGACGATGGCGTTGGAGTGTGTCCAGTCCCGTCAATATTAAGATTTTTAATTATTCTAGACATCGAGCACGTGACAGAGCTGAGTCGAACCATACTCCTTCAGTAGTGTGATTTCTAATTCGTTTATATAACGAGCATGCGCCAGAGCTTAGGAATGCCATAGCGTCCCTGTCGAAGCCACAATTTGTAAATGAAAATGTGCGAAGATTCTCGAATTTACCATTAAGGAATTGTAGTAAATCGGACATCATTATGAGCTGATGATTCTGAACTCCCCTTCTCTGGCTGTCCATATCAGTACCACCTACCACCAAAACATCAGTACAAGATCGTCGAACAACGATTACGGTAGCATCGGCTACGACAGGAAATTTGGGTGGACGATGCTATCTTTAAAGACAGTAATTGTACGACATTGAAGAACATTACTTTAAATGAATTTCAGGACTTTTTTCTAACACAATACTGTCCTCAAGAATCTGTATTAGTACGGATTCTGCGTCATATGATCGCCGTGGGTTGTCTATAAATCACATGTTTATCTTATCTTGTTAACATTACTTTTAGATTTCGCGCGCTTCTGAAGGAACATGTTGGAGCATATCGGTCAGGTGATAACCAGATGGTGAAGTGAAGCCAGACTGCATGCCTGCAAGGTTAAGTATTTCATGTTCGACATGTTTTAGATGTACTTTGCACCTTGCCCCAGAAACGAAGCCCTGTTTGATTCCAGTACATCGGTGCTGAGCCCTGGCTATTGCCACGGAATGAGAGGCTGTAGTCCGTAAAGGAAGCGCCTAGCGGCGATTCGCTGCGTTAGACTGTTTCAACATTACTTATATGGATTGTTTACTAGTGAAAGATACTTGGTCACCATGGCCATTCGTAATGAGACGCATATCATAAATGCGTATCAAAACGCTGATTGCAATTCTGCTTTCGCTATCTGCTGAACGATCGTCTAAATTAAGTTATGAGCTTTCTTCCACAGAATTTCTGCACACCTAAGCGTGGATAGGATCATCATTACCTAGGTTCTTTGAGAGTGAACGCAACTGCAACAGGTTACCCGGTCTGAAAGTAATTGTGGCCTTCTTCTGTTGCTTCGTGGAGCGAAACAAGATATTTTAGCATGTTTATAGTTTTGTTATTGCTGATCTATTGGTCATAGGAAATGACCACAGTCACCAACTATTCCTCTCTTGTTAGATAGCCCGTTCTGACTCGTCGTGCAAGCCCCAGCTTCTGTTTCTTCGTTTCGAGTGCAATCCTCATCTACGAACGTTTTGGTATACGTATGTGGTTGCTGGATGATCCTGAACTAAACTTCAAATGCTGAGGCAGCTGTATATGCGGGCAACAAATTCGTCACACCATCTCTTCGGTGGACGTTCACGTGGACGATTCGAAGATCTCCAAATCCGTTCCAGATTCTTTTGCCCCTCTATCCTCTGCTCTTCTCATTATATGACCGGCCTATCTACGTTTATATCTCGATACGTACTCTGCTGGATCTTGTAGACGCGGAAACGTTCCCAAGTCGGAGCTTCGAACAACATTACCCTCAACACGATAGGCCAAAATGGAAACGACTTGCGTGTGCTTTTTTGCGCCGTATCGCGAGCATTCATATTATAACAGCACCCATCTTGTGTCTTCTTCTATGTAATCTCTTACTGGCAAAATGCGAGAGCTGCGTTTGCGTATCAGTTGGGCAAGTCTTTGACGGAGTGGAAGCATGTTCCATCAAACGTCTCGGCGCATTCCTGGTTGGGACAGATTGTACAGTCCCGTGTAACGGCAGGGGCAGTTGCCGTTACATGATTTATACAACGCAGAAAGTATTTCGTCAACTATGGATTAAGTTAACAAATAAACAGCAAACATGGTCCCGCCACGGAAGTTCACAGTACTACAATACTGGATCGGAACTCACTTGAAGTGCTTTGAGTTACTGCAATCAACCCTTATTCTACAGTTATGGCACACGCCATACTTGATCCACTTACCCACTTCGCTATGGGTCAAATCAGTGAACTGACCAATGGCGAAGTGGATGAAGTAGATCAAGTGGTCCGCTTTGTTAGTAAGTTCACTGATTTGGTCAGTAGCGAAGTGGATGAAATGGATTTAGCGGAACGAATGGATCAACAATAACGGGTGCCTCACTGTACAAAATTTATCCACTGATTTCGCGCTCTAATTCGTTTGCTCGCTCGGGCTCGATTCTGCGCTCGGCTGCAGCAATCGAAGTTTCATCCTCGTCAGTTTGTTGTTTTTTTCCCGAGTTTAAGAAGAAGTTGCTCTGGACTTTAATGTGTTAAACGTTTGAAGAAGTTTTGGTGATTTCATGCTTTATTTCACATTAGCGGCAGGAAGTCGTTATCGCTTTCAATGCCGTAGTGTTTATTTAAAACTTTTATCTTTTATAAGTCGTTGCTTTAGTTATGGACCGATTGACATGGTATCAACCAGGTGAAAGTTTGGAAGATCTTCTTTGTCAAGCTGGACATGTAGGAATCTACGAAGGTGATTTGAAGCATGTGAGTTTTGATCACTTTCTGTGTTTTTTTGCAATCTGTATTTTTTGTTCTTTTTATAGTTTTTGACTCCCAAATTTTCTCATTTTTGAGATGTAACTCCAGCACAACAGGCATAAAGTTTGCTGTTATCGATTTGCAACTGCGGAAATTCTAACACTCGACATAGTGATTTTTGCTAAGGAGTGCTGTGCATTGATATCTTATTTCGGATTTTTCGATCCTCCAAGTTTGTGGATCATAGCGAAGCTAATTAAAACATCAAGATATAGCTTATCCGATTACATGATTGGAACAGAATTACCATCCCGAATTTAGACTTCGTTCGAGCAAGGTACGGCTTCGCTGACATTACATCGGGTAATATGGGCGGATTCAAGTGACCCGGTGAGTTTGTCACCAATAACTCTTCTTTAGGCTGCGTTCATACTGATTTCCTAACTTGAAATAGTTCCAGCACAGCGCGTCCGAGCGCTGTGCTGGAACTGTTCCCGAACTTCTGGATCAGTATGAACGCAGTTTTAAGTCAGTGTGTAGGTCTGGTTTTCTTGATCTTCTTTTTCTTGTCCACCAATTCGTTCCTTATCAAATCGAATGCTAAGTTGCACATTATTGTTTGATTTGGATCCTTGCCTTTCAGTAAAAATGTTTACATCTCCTCTTTTCAAAATGAAAAATCCTTAGAAGTTTGCGGGGTCTTTTTGCTGTCAAGATTTTGATTCTTCACCCACTAGCTATTGTCGAGACTTAGCTGGGGCTGAGCATTCACGCTGCATTTGCTTTTCTTTCGCATCGCAAACGGAGGAAAGCTTTTTTGCTGCTTTGCATTGACTCTTTTTTCCTTGTACGTTCTTTTCTTGTTGTCCGCTTGGCCGTTCGTCATTCTTCCCTAGCCATTCACTCAACTGTTTGAAAACGGCTCTATCCATCTGCCAATGTATCCATTCTCATCTCTGTTCGTAGGATCGTCGGCTCATTCTGCATCATTCGTTGGTGAAATCGACCGAAAAACATCACAAGTCGATGTTTAATCGTGGTGGGAAGATAATTGTCTATCTCGAGCCAGCTCCTCCACATAATGTGGGCCCTCAAAGAAATAGCAGCTTTAATTATATTCGTTTCGTATTTCGAAACGGCGGAGAAGAAGACGTGAGTAAAAGCTCTATAGAATTCCAAGCACAGCTGTTCAATCTGATTTTTCTTTTTTAGTTCCATCGGAAATACGAGGAAGCATTGAAAAGGAAAACATGGCAAAGATCTAGTTCGGGATCAAGTTCAGGCGGAGTGAGTTTCCTCTTTTGTCCCCTGAAAGTTGATTTACCCATTACGTCACTCATGTCAACTGTCGCTGTCTTTTGGCTTTTCACAACCCTCATCGTGTAGTGATAAAAGCAACTTTCAGTCGAGAACAAGCGGCCTTCAAATGCGGGCTGTAGGCATTGCTGGTTTGGAGAAGAGAATAGCAGAAAATCATCAGAGAACTCACGAGACTATAAGTCAGGTCAGAATTTTGGGGGAATACGAGTCTTTTTCTCTTTTATTTTGAGGGCATAATGCGTGTCAGGATAACGCCGAATCAGCGTGTTTCTTACTGTGTTTCTTATTTTCTTGTCTGTAATCGTTGTGATTCTTTTTGAAGTTATGGTAACCATTTGCTGATAGTGTTGGCACTGACAATCGAGTTTGCTTCCGTAATTTTCGATTCATCGATTGAATTTGTCATCACATGTCCCTGGATGAAATTGTAGAATTTCACACCTTTGCAACTTTCAGGCATTCGAGGACATGTCGCGTCTTATGGAGACTGCTCGTGATATGGTCACTCTATCCAAAAGTATAGCTGAGAAACTTCGTTCACGTCGTGGAGAAATAACAGAAGATGAGGTGATTATATTGCATTTCTTAACTTGTTGGTAATATATGGGCGATGTGATTATACCGCTCTCATATGCTATATTTAGACAATCGCGTTCAAATCATATCTCTTGTCGCTTGGAGTGTCAGATCCCGTGACAAAGTCGGCATATGGTAGTGGTGCTATTTACTTCGAAAAACTTGGAGAAGAGCTTTGTACTGTGCTTCTGGAGCCGCTGAAGGTACTTTTGCCATTATTTCATCTATTGTTCGATTTCAACTTTTGTTTTCTTACTTCACTCTTTTCTTTGTCTGTTCGAAAAAAGTAAATGGCAGGAATGCGGCGGTATGATGACCCTGCCAGAGGTGTACTGTCGCGTTAATCGAGCTCGTGGTTTTGAATTGCTTTCGCCAGAGGATTTATTGAATGCGTGCCAGGCGCTCAGTAGGAGAGAGGATTCACCAATGGAGTGAGTCATAACGCTACTCTAACTGCTTGAATGTTTTACTCTTGTTAAATTCTCTTACTACTTCAGGCTTCATCGATTTCCTACTGGTGTCATAGTACTGCAGCTGAAAACAGCCTCTGTTGAAAGTATGGTGGAGGCGACAGCAGATTTTGTAAAAGAAAATGGTAGTGCTACCGCCAGTCAGCTGGCCGCTAGCAAAGGAATTACTGTGATTTTGGCAAAAGAAAGGTCAGTCTGTTTCAGTTTTCATTTATTGTTACATTTTTGCATTGCTCCTTCTCATGCTTATTCTTTTTTATTTCATTTTTCGATATTTAGACTGCTGGCAGCTGAAGAGCAAGCCATGCTTTGCCGTGATGACTCTACTGAGGGTCTGAAATTCTATCCAAACCGATTCCTTATTGATGTTTAGGTCGAAGCTGTCTTTACACGAGTTTGTTCTGATATCTGTCACCAAATCCAATTCTTGCCATAACAATGCTTTACTGCATATGCGTCACTCTTTCTTAGCCTAGTTCATCATACCTTTATGACTGCAGTTTTGCCAAACTTAGAATATTGTGATAGAAATTACGTCAACATCATTTCTAGTCAACAACGAAAGGGCAAGATGTCTTCATTCTTGATTACTTCATAGAACTCGAATTTTACATCAATTTGAACATTTCCTTTACGTAACAGATTTTGCGTAATGTTCGACTTCCTTCCATCGTTGTGAGTTGTTTAGTCATGCTTGCTTTCTGACTGAGAAAAGAATCTTCCTCTATGAGTTGGAAAATTCTGATCTGAACTAGCTTCCGGACAGCTGCAACGGGATTTATCTAGCGGAATTCGCATAGGTTTGATAAGAGAAATGAGGCTCTTGAGTCTCACTGGAAACCTTATCATGTGTTTGTAGCCAAATTTCTAAATTTGTCATTTAGTAAGTTCTCGTGCGTCAATATTGAGAGTGGTGTATAAGTCGCAAGATTGTGTATTCTACTATGCTAATGATTATAGGTGCTGGTTGTTTTGTTCGTTCTGAATATAGAACATTCTAGATCTCTTTGGCGTATGCTATGGTAGCCGAATAGCGGAGTTGACAATTTTTTTTCTTGTCTCAATTATCATATGATATTAAAGAGCTTTACCGTACAATTTGCTCTTAATTGCGTTTGATTGGTTCTTTGAACCATATCTATCTTTTTCTGCTTTTGAACTTTCTTGTTGACAATTTGGTTTTGATTATAAGGTGTGAATAGGTCTTATGGACGGTCCACCTGGCGTGGAAGTGGAGTCAGTACCAGTGGCAACGGGAGCACCTGTGCCAACCCCCATACCCGCTTCATCCTTAGTCCCGGCTGTAGATACTACCACATCCGAAGAACCGAAACACGATGCAACACAGCCTATTGCAGGCTAGTTACTTTTTTATAACCGGCTTTTCTCTCTATCTTTTTGGATTAGTGAAGTTTCTCGCCCTTTGATTCGAGTGAGTGCTGTTTCCATCATTGTTCTCTCCGAAAAAATATTAGAATTTTGAAAATCACTCAATAGTAACATTTTGAATTCCGTGAATTTTGTAGACCCTCTCGCTGATTCTGGAGACGAGGATGATGATGACGATGTAGAAGTGACAATTGGTGTCATACCACCGGTCAATGTGCAGTACAGCTTGGTCAGTACAATTTTTTGCAGTCCTTTATAGACGTGATTAAGTGATTAATTTCGCATCAAACTCCCGGAGTTTCGTAGAGAACAGGTGTGGTTTCGAACTTGTGCTCATTGTTCAGAAAGGTTCACTCGATGCTAATGGCGACGCTATCCCAGCAGGAAAGCTTGATATCGATGCAGTACCAACTATCAATGACAAGCCTATATACGACATCGATTTGGCTCAAATGGAAGATCGGCCGTGGAGGAAACCTGGCGCAGACATCACCGATTATTTCAATTATGGCTTTACAGAGGGTACGGTTGTTTGGATGATCATATATTGAACTAATGTGATCATTCAGACACATGGAATACGTATTGTGAGCGTCAGAAGAAGCTGAGGCAAGAGTACAGTAATCAAGCAGCGGTGAACAAAGCACTGTTCTCTTCCATAAACTTATCAAACCCTCTCGGGATGCCACGTGAGTCCATTAGTTGTTAGAGAACTAGCTTTCATGCATCTATCGTTCTTTTCCCTAGCTACAACTGGAGGACGACAATTGGTTCCGCTCACGGAGGGAACGGTCAAAGTACTCACCGATAATGGAGGCATATTCAAACCACACTATCACAAGCTCGCGACTGACAATTCTGAGGTGACTGTCTTCAAACGCTGAAGTTTCTAGTCTTTTGCAGTTCTGCGTGTTCCAGTCTTCAATGCCGTTATTTTACTTGATGATTGCTAGGGTAGAGATACTCTTAAAGGCCATCCGCATTTTTTGGTTTTCTTTTCCAGTTTGCTCCTAATTTTTTCTAGATCTTATTTTGTGGAAAAATGACTAAAGGTTTTTTTGTTTGCAGCCAATCATGAGAACAGTCATAGGAGCGCCACCACCAACGTCTGCTCCACCTCCACCCGGCGTGGTAAGTCATATCCCATAATTTTTTTACTACAAGACTTTTTTTTTTCTATAAAACTATGAGTCATGTTCTAGACGCCAACTAATGCCACAGCGCCCATTGTCGACTTCAGCAAACCGCCTCCGAATTTGCCCCCACCTGCTGCAGCTACCCCTGCACCGGCTACCTTACCACCAGTACATATAATGGGTCTGTTGATTTTTTGATATATATTTAGGTTTCCTCAATATATTGCATTCAGATGGTCCACCTGGAGTAGATATTATCGCACCACCAGGAGTGGATGGACCGCCTGGAGTAGATATGGAACCGCAAACGATCCCAACGCTTGGTTCAGGAAGTGGTCTTGATATGTCTGTGCCTCCCCCAGGGTAACATGCTTGCAATTTTTTCTTTTGTTTGTAACCACTCGGATGTTTTGGAATGAGTGAAGGAAAGGAAAATGCAATCTTCTTGTAGTTTCAACCCTTCCTTGCCTCCACCTGGCATGAGACCTCCGCAAATGGGTATACCCATGACAAACATGCCTCCGCCTGGCTTCAACACTATGTTACCACCACCAGGATTTGGTCAAGGCCGCTTCCCTCCTGGAGGACCCGGAGGTACTTTGACTCTTGACGCTTAGACGGAATTTCCGAAGCGAATCGGTGATGATTCCATTTCCCACGCCAAAAGACAATTTAGTGCTTGACGAGTTCTGTTATGCTGCATTTCATTCCTTCGTCTTCTAGTAGATCTGTCGATTTTGTCTTTTCCTCTGTCCTTTGTTCGTGCTTGAAAAGTGATCATTCTAGGCATGAACAGACCACCTCCTTTGATGGGACGCGATTTTGACTCTATGGGCCGACGAGAATCAGGAGATTTTGATGATCTGTACGTTCGATGATCCATTTTTTGTGCACTCATCAATTGTCTATGTTGCAGTGATGATGACAGAAGACGCCATAAGCGACGAAGCCGATCAAGAAGCCCGAGACGTGACTCCAGGTAAGCTTTACCTTATCTTGGTCTTACTGTTCATCGATGAGTCCTGTTCAGTTTATCGAAAAGCAAGATATCGCAGTCCTTTCCTTTCTAACCTCAATAGTTTTGTTGGCTTCGTTCAGACTTTTTATAGTGTTCGTTTTAGCTTCAGACGTGTTCGTGACAGCGGACGAGATCGCGAACGCGATGATCGTCGAGATCGAGACAAGGATCGTGATAAAGAACGTGACAAAGATCGCGACAAGGAAAGGGATCGTGAGAAAGACAGGGAGCGCGAGCGTGGAACGGAGCGATCGGAGCGCAGCAGACGGCATAGATCGCGAAGTGGAAGCCCTGATAGTGAGTGTGCAAATTGCTTTTTCTCTTTCTTTCCTAATTCTTTCCTCTATGATTATTTCATATTTGTGCGTTCAGCTCGGAAGAGGCGTGAAGAGCGCGATAAAGATAAGAAACGAGAACGACGTGAGGACGACTCTGAAAAGAAGAAGAGGTGGGTAATCAAGCGTTCAATTCTGCCTGTTTTGATTTTATGTGGATTTTGCAGACGACATGACAAAGATGACGATGAACGTCGCGAAAGACGTGATGAACGGCGAGAGAAAAGATCTAGACGTGAAGAACGTGAAATAAAAGAGGAACGTGAGGACCGCGACAGGGACAAGGACCGAGAAAAAGATAGGGATAGAGATAGAGAGCGGGAAGATCGTGATAAGGAACGCCCAGTGGAAATCAAGCAAGAAGTGATGGAAACAAGTGGCAGCGGGGAACCACCCCCACCTGGCGTAGATATGCCACCTAATGCTTAGATCGATGGTCCCACGGAAATATACAGTGTTTGCTTCGATGAAGCACTGGCTTGAATTTTTCAGTGCCGTGTCATAACCTCAGTATCACTGATCTTCCTGTAACTAAGTGTTATACGCAACTTGATTGATTCATTGAATTTTGTGTAATGAGGTTGCGTGATGGAATACTGGTCCATGTTTATACTTTCATTTATAAGAACTTCTATCCAAGGAGTGATATCCGTTCTTAACTGACTCGATGGTCAGATAAGCTTTGAAAAGCATTTTTCTGATTTTTGCACTATTTGTACTGGCTTGTGTAATAGAAAAGAGATTAGCCATCAGCTGTTGTTGTTGTTGTAATTGAAAACCTAATTTCTCTTAACTGCAGTTAGAAGGCATATCATGGAAAAAAATGAAATAAATGTGCTATCACTCATCTTTCGTTGCTGTTTTCACTAGATTGAGTTTCGAAAGCGGAGCCTACAGAATATTTTTATTTGATAGGATTATCATTCAGAAGAGCTTTTCGCACATTGCATCAAGGTGCGTGGTTGTGGTGCTCTATATCATCTCTTTCACGGAGGAATAGATCAATTATTTTCTGGTGTAGGCCGATTCGCACGACCGTAATGCTTTCCACATAGGACCATGCCAAGCGCGACACACTCTGCGGCGGCGAAAATGCGGCGTGCGTGACGTGCTAAGACAGGTCAAAATCAAGGTAGTGCTGGAGGCCGCCCGTGCGAAACAGGGCTCGGCGCAGATGGTTTGGGGTCAAACTGGACTTCGTTTTTGAGGTTAGAAGCAACGGGGATATCGTTTTTAAGGTCCTGGGGGAAGCGCCGATAAAAAAACGACGAACTATCAGGTTTTACGAGTTGAACGTGTTCTTTCGCAAGCGCGCGAATTTCAAACGCAAGACTCAAACAAACAAATGGCTTGTTTACAGCGCAGAAACAATCACATGGCTCCAAATTTGGGCTAATATGTAAAAATATTACTCCAAACTATGTTATGTAAAAAGTTTCCAGAACTTATGTGTCCTAATACCCGTTCCAGAATTTGTTGGTTTCTAGACCAACACCTAACCAACTGGGTAGGTTCGGAGCATAAATATCGGAGAGTTCACATAAGTTTTGGCCTTTTTGATTTGGACGATTAGAACGGTCAAAAATCTATCATATAGTGAAGAAAGCGAATCAAACCATTGCCTCTCCCCTTTTTTCAGCCAAAAGTAGTGTAAATCTGTGCTTTGATAGATATTGCGCTCCAATCACATGCGGTCTCCGTTGAACTATGTGGCGAAAAATGCATCGCCAGATTGCTGAGGCCACAGATTTGGTTGGCCTATAGGCCCTATAGGAGGTTTTCGACATTCTGAGCACTAAAATGTACCTTACCCAATGACATAGCCTTCAATCCACTCGAAATATTTTCTTTCTGATATTCCATGCTCGACCATCCTTGAATCTTGGCATTTTCTATTCAATATAGATTAGTTCTCAGTAAGTTAGTAAGCGTTTCAAGATTGTTATCCGCTTATCAATACAACGACATCAGTAAACAGGTCGACGTTTCGGCAGGGTCGCCTTTTTCAAAACCTGGAAAGTGAGTCAGTAAATTTGACGTTCCAAGGATAGACTACCTTCAGCGATACACTTCAAGTGGCTGTCCACCACTCTGACACTTAGTCAGGCCACTATATGCTAACTCTTGTGATGGAATGAGGTTCCCTTTTAAGGTCAGACTCAAATCCACACAATGATAAGAATGGGATGAGCTCACTACTGATAGCCATTTTCTCTTCCTTTCTGTTCAGTTTGGGACATTTGGACGTGATCCAACAAGCCTCTATGGTCTTTTGTGCTGCAATTTCGGTTTCTTTCGAAAGGATAGCAACGTTAATTTGAAACTCTATTTCCTGATGGTAAAGCACGTGATGTGCGCCAAGAGGCGTGGACACTCGCGATTTTCTCATTCCGTCCAAATGTTCGTTAATTCGTACATACAGCGGTCTTCCTGTTTCTCCAATATATTCTTCCCCACACAGCTTTGATATACTCAATGCTCAATCAACTGACATCAAATTCACAAGGGAAACGCTTAAGCAGGGATGGTTGCCATTCCTCAATGTCCAGATCTGCTTATGCAGAGGAGAGTACAGAACACGCTGGTATAGAAAACAAACCAATAAAAACATACTTGTACATTACTGCTCTGCACACCCAATTCAAATGAAACTTAGCATCATCAGAAACATGCTGCGAACGTCAAAAAGAGTGTCTTCAAATAGCATTCTAGAATCCGCATCGACCAAACAGGCTCCAAATTGCGCACGCAAACGGTTACCTGCTGTCGAAAAACAAAAACACAAACGTTCGTCACAAAGATAATGCTACAGTTTTTAATGATGTCAGTTGCGAAAAGGTGTCATTCTTTATGCCATTCATATCGGATAAGTTAAGCGCTGCGATTAGAACCTGCGTTCAAAAAGCCGGCCTGGAAAGTATGCTTAGAGTTGTCGAAGTCCCACCCCCAAACCTCAAGCAGCGCCTGGTGCGTAACAGAGGTTACGACCCAGCTTGTTCAAAAACAGACTGTAATATATGCAATTCTAACAAATGCATGTGTCGTGGCGCTGTGTACTTGATATCCTGTAAACTGTGTGGGGAAGAATATATTGGAGAAACAGGAAGACCGTTGTATGTACGAATTAACGAACATTTGGACGGAATGAGAAAATCGCGGGTGTCCACGCCTCTTGGCGCACATCATGTGCTTTACCATCAGGACATAGATTTCCAAATTAACGTTGCTATCCTTTCGAAAGAAACCGAAATTGCAGCACGAAAGACCATAGAGGCTTGTTGGATCACGTCCAAATGTCCCAAACTGAACAGAAAGGAAGGGAAAATGGCTATCAATAGTGAGCTCATCCCATTTTTATCATTGTGTGGATTTGAGTCTGACCTTAGAAGGGAACCTCATTCTATCACAAGAGTTAGCATATAGTGGCCTGACTAAGGTCAGAGTGGTGGACAGCCTCTTGAAGTGTATCGCTGAAGGTAGTCTACCCTTGGAGCGTCGAATTTACTGACTCACTTTCCAGGTCTTGAAAAAGGCGACCCTGCCGAAACGTCGACCTGTTTACTGATGTCGTTGTATTGATAAACGGATAACAATCTTGGAACGCTTACTAACTTACTGAGAACTAATCTATATTGTTTTCTTTTTGCTTTTTTGTCATTTTAGGTACCTCAAAATGCGCTTTTTTCGCTTTTTATTGTTATTTTGATTGAATAAGGGTTTCCCTACTAACTGTTACTTCAAGAGGGACTTCGTAAATTTTCGCGAGATTATGGGGGACTTCGTTTCCAAAAATTTTCCAAACCAACGCGTGCCGGGCCCTGGTGCGAAAAAGCCGTCTCAGATTCCCTGCTTACTAGAGTGTACCTGCAGACGCGACAACGCCTGTGCGTCAACAATTGCCACTGCGGGTTTCCGCGAGTGTTTTTTGCTTATTCTTTGCTTTTAGGTAACTCGTGCTGATAAAGGAGAGAAAGGTAAGTGAGAAAGTATTTCTGTTTCCTGTAAAGTTATAACATCGCTTATTCTGAGTATATACAGTCGAGTAGATTTAGCGGTAAATATAGTGTGCTTGTACAGAAGGTGAAATGCGGTGAAATTTGCGCGTGAACAAGTAGCCACGTCAGTACCGCGGGTATCTTGCGCGCGCAATTGGCCGGCGTCACAGACGAAACTATTACTTCACGCGCGAATTTTACCGCATTTCACCTTCTGTGCAAGCACACTATATTTACCGCTAAATCTACTTGACTGTATGTGGAAGCACGTCATGTCAGTTTCATGCATACTTTGCTGTCACTTCACGGCTCTTTCTTATTGTGAAGCATTTCTTTGAACGCTGGTAATTTAAGTTTGACTTATTGTTTTTATTACACGAGCTGCTTGATTGTATGCTATTTCAGTTTGGCTGAAAGCAGAAGTTGCTGCAGCGCAAGCGTACTAGCTCAAAGAATTGCTTCACAATGAGAAAGACAAGAAGTGAAAGGAAATGACAAGGAATACCTAGAAACTGACGTGACGTGGTTCCACATACATACCTTGGAACAAGCAACTAACTACTCAGAAAACGGATACTACTTCTAACTTCCCTTTTTTTTAATCAAAAAGCAAAGAAACAAAGAACACTACAAACACTCGGTGGGAAACTGAAGACATTTGTTGACGCACAAGCGTTGTCGCGTCTGCAGGGACACTATATTGAGCAGGAAATGTACTCGACTATATTCAGCTATCTGTTCAGCGGAGGTTACGTTTGCTTGCGGTATCATCCTGTAGAGGATTCAACTTAAATCAGTATGGACCGAATCATCAATCACTCTTTATTACTGTAAGATTACGGTTTGAACTTTCAGCAGAAGAAGCGCTATTATGAAATAGACCTTCTAACGAAAAAAATTCCAAAAAATTCTGGAGATCGGTGTAGTAAAGTTTTCAAGTGGGCAATCCCAGTACACAACTTTTCACCTGTTTTTTGAGCTCTTTTAATGGTGTAATTACACTTCTGACGAACATTGGAAAAAACAGATGTTACCTAAACCTGAAACAACTTGCAAAGGAAATGACAAAAAATACATAATTTATGGCTTGTTTGGTTTTCTTTTTGAGCCAGAAATCACTTTCACTGTCCTAAAATCCTTCTCGAAGTTCACACCGTAATATTGCAGTTTCAAAGAGCGATCGATGATTCTGTCCCTACTGTAAATCTAAGTTGAACCTCGCTCTACAGAATGATACCTCAAGCTCGGCGAAAGACGTGAAATCAAGAGAGTTATCAATGTCAACAATCAAACAGTGTTCACATTTCCTTGGGACACCCTGTATATCCAATTTTATAGCCTAAATCACGTAGCTTTCACAGAAGTGATTTTAGCCTGTATCGTCTTCTTTACTCTGAGTAAGAGTTGGTGAAAGCGCAGCCACTGAAGGGACAAAAAGCCTTTGGCTTGCTTCTGATTTAGTTTGGCAGTCTTTGAAGCGGGATTCCTAAGGTGGGCAAAGAAGGAGTAGTGCTTTGTAATGAATGCAAAAGAGGTAGCCAATTCAATTTTGAAACGGAATTAATTATGCTAGAAAATGACCATTTTGAATGGCCCAGTAGTTAGAAAACTCAGAATTCGCTAAAACTTTGCTGATTACAAATATGAATCACATGGAGTCTATCGAAACACACAATGAGGGGGGTCGTGTCCGGTGATCATGTGCCCCTCCCTAATTGTAATTTCTGATCGTCGGGGGAAGGCTCAACCAAACTTGTGTATTCGCTACGTAGTCTCCTTATGCGTTGCATAAGTCATCGGTCACTTGTTGACCACACCCAGTCATTGAGAACCAGTCTAGTCGATCATGTCTTTTCTTGATCTTGTCTAAAACTGGTTTATAGCTGGGTTATGTAAAGGGAGCTCACGGATATGGTTTTCAGCCCAATGAAAACCCGACAATATTTTGTCACTGCGTAGTTGATGTAGTCTGTGTCAATGATGTGCTTCCCTTCCGACCAGCCAAGCGCACGCTAGAATCCCCTGCCGCATTCGCTGGCGTAGCTTGTGCGCTCAGATTTGCAGCATCGATCGGAGAACGCCACGCAATACCCACGCGATGCGGATGCGTAGTTGCTACGGAAAAGGAGCACGTGGTTGACACAGATTGTAGTTGATGGCAATTACGAATTTTCCATATGCAATAATATTCATACCAACAAATTTTGGAGCGCTATGTTCACATTTTTAAAACACTGATACAGAATAAGAGCTTTAAAGTTTTTAGCGGCAAGTCTCAAAACATTGATTTTTCCGTCATTTTTTAGCAAAATGCAAAAATAAGGGAGTGAAACATTATTCTGACATGCATGGATGCAAAGTTTGATTGTAGTCACATTTTTGAAGCGTGACTTCTCCATCTACATTGCAGATTATTACAGTTGATCAGGTGTAAATATCAACTGATTTGTCGTTGCAAAAAAAAGAAAATTGGTTGAAAAATTGGTTTTGTAAGGTTTATGGAGGCACTTTTTCGTAATAATTGGTTTGTATCGCAAAAAAAAAAATCCAAGCGCCCTTGCCATTTACTTCGATTGAATGAAATTAGCAAAAAAAGTTTTTTCGGCCCATTGTTATTCGGATGGAAGCATGTTTTGCTCCTTAGTATTCGTAATTGTTGTAATTCTCAATGTGTTAAAATTCAATTCTACAAATCTTAGCTTTGTATCCCAGTGGTCTCAAAACTTCTTTTCATGCTTTGTTCGAAATTGTGCTCAGACCATATTTCCCCCCCCCCCCCCACCCCATGTCAAACAATTTTTTGCCACTTCTGGGGCTGGAAGGGCGTGATGGGCTAAGTGTCCAAACGTGTTTATATAAAATACACAGTCACTTAACTCATCCGAGCGCAACTCATGTTCGGCTCGCGCCACGCCCACTTAGCACACCCTTTCATTCAAAGTGCTTCAAAATTACTACTTTTGGCGTTTTATTACTGCGACTTTGAGGCACCGAAATCGCGCCCTCAAGAGGCAGAGTTTTTATAAGGAGAACAAACACTCCACAAGTCTCTGCCCGAGGACTACAGGATTTTGCTCCAGCATATCACCTGAGGAACAGAAGTCCGCATGGCTGTGCCATTTGGCTGGGATCTTTTCCCGAGTTTGTTTGTTGTTTGGACCGTGTCTTTGTGCACGTTCGTTCAGCTTTACCAGTTTTATAGTCTTTCTCCTCCAGTATGCACTATCGACAGATTAGTTGTGAATGCTATTTTGTCAGAGAAAAAATCTCGGAGATTACTCATTTTCTTGACAATCATGAGTAACCGAGCAAGTTTTGTCGCTTACCTTTTTATGAGCTTCAAATTGCCGCAACTCTTTTCATATTCAGGTACCCTGTCTTCCTTGAGAGGGAGATTGTGACCATCAATTATTTCATTGTTTTTATTGCGGCACCATTTCAAAAATACACGATCATCAATAACTCAATTGCAATGCATTCCTGGAATCAAATGGAAATGGCGTTTCAAATGCTTCCTCGATTATTTTATCCTTTTGACACTAAGAATAAAACGTTGAATACATTATGCCTAAAATGATGGTTTCTGCAACCATCATGTGAAGTAACTGCTATGTCGTTCAGTCTTTTTTAACGACATAGCAGACAAATGTCTCAGCTTCGACAAGGCAGTGCTCTCGCTGTTCGTTCTCTAATGGCTCAATGCCGTCCGTTCCGCAAGCAACATACCATTCACCGCTGTTCAGACGCGCTTTTACACCATCAGAAACACGAACCATTGAGCTTTCTGGATCGGTAGTCATGCTCTGAAACAAGAGTAAATGAGGGTATATCGAAGAAAGATTCCTTTAGCATACCTGTCGCATAATCTTCCTGAGTCGTACTGAGTTGCATTCTTGCTCCAAAGCGGTCTTGTCCTTAGAAAACCGCCTCAATCGGAATCCCTGACCACCTTCTCCTTCTTCTTCACCACCACTTTGAGCGCCGCCACCACCGGTAGCTCCTTGATCATAATTCGTTCCTGCGCTTGCTCCACCTCCGCCGCCTTCGGCACCACCGCCGCTAGCTTGTTGTTCTCCACCGCCAGATTGTTGTTCTCCGCCACCACCTGCCGCTACTTCTTGTCCGCCGCCACCACCCTGCCAAAGCTAGTTGAACTGTTGGTACAATATCTGAGAACGTTCAATAAGCAACCAACCTCTCCCTCTTGGTAATCGGAACCACCGGATGATGCTGGCGCCGGAGCCGGAGGAGGTGGGGCTGCAGCTGGTACTGGTGGAGGGGGTGGTGGTGGTGGTATGGCTGGTGCGGGTGCGCCTCCGGCAATACCAGCTCCTTCAGAGTAAGGCGCTCCTCCGCCACCTCCTCCTGAGAAAGGTGCTCCTCCGCCACCTCCTCCTGTGAAAGGTGCTCCTCCGCCACCACCGCCGGAATATCCTCCTCCTCCACCCGAGTAGCTTCCACCACTTCCGCCTGAGTAGCTTCCACCACTTCCGCCAGAGTATCCGCCACCGCCCTTTCCAGCATAGCTGCCTCCTCCTTGGTATCCGCCACTGCTGCCTCCGGCATAGCTGCCGCCGCCGCTCTTGCCACCTGCATAGCTGCCACCTCCGGAGTATCCACCTCCTCCAGCATAGCTACCACCGCCTCCTTTAGCATAACCTCCTCCGCTTGGACCGGCATAACCTCCTCCACTGGAACCACCTGCATAACTTCCGCCACTGCTTGGACCTGCATAGCTTCCTCCACTGCTTGGACCAGCATAGCTTCCACCACTGGGACCTGCGTAACTTCCTCCACTGCTTGGGCCAGCATAACTTCCTCCGCTGCTTGGACCGGCATAGCTTCCTCCACTAGGACCAGCATAGCTTCCACCACTGGGACCTGCGTAACTTCCTCCACCACTTGGGCCGGCATAGCTTCCTCCACTAGGACCAGCATAGCTTCCTCCGCTTGGAGCGGCGTAACTTCCTCCACCACTTGGCGCTGCATAGCTACCACCACCTCCTAAATGAGCCACATCAGTTTGAATTTAATATTTTCTGTTAGCATTTTGAATTTTTCAAGTTCAAGCATGTCAGCTATATTTTAAAAATGGTTGCGACAGTTACGCTGAAATTAGAAAATTAGTCATGTTTTCGTTTACCTAAAAGCTTATGACTTTTTTCCTAGGTGTACAATAACTTATTTGCTTGTAGTTGTCATATGCAAAAACAAACGCATATAAATTAGACTATTTATCACTATTACTACAACTTGAACATTAATTATGTATCGAATCCTAACCGGACTGCGCGTAACTTCCTCCGCCGGGGCCAGCGTATCCGCCACCACCAGTAGCGTAACTGCCTCCGCCTGGAAATTATAGGTTTGAGATTTTGTTTTACATTCTTCAGTTACTGAGACATAAAAGAAAAAATGGTAGCGAAGACTTACCAACTGGTCCGGCATAACTTGGAATTGGTGGAGGCGGTGGTGCAGCAGCATATGAGCCTCCGCCTCCGCCTCCGCCTCCTCCACATCCACCACCGCCAGGTGCAACAGCGTATCCACCACCTCCTGATGGTGCAACGGCGTATCCGCCACCTCCAGATGGTGCCACAGCGTAACCTCCTCCTCCACCACCTGAGAATTGGTATTATTTTCATAGCCCAAACCACTATCTCCTCTGCTCTCACCTCCGCCGCAGCCTCCACCAAGACCGCCTCCACCAAGACCGCCACCGCCGAAACCGCCACCTCCTCCTCCGCCGCATGGGCAGCAGCAGCAGGACTGTTGTACTGGAGGTGGTGGTGGTGGTGCGCAACATTGTTGTTGTTGTTGGCAGCAACATCCTCCACCTCCTCCTCCAGACATGGGGAAGAGGAAGGAGTTTATTGGGACCGCTATGAGTAGCACTAACGTTAAATGAAGGTACAACATACCCTGAAATGGTTGTATGAAGACAGTCTTGGCGATGACCTCGAAAATTTGGCGAAAAAAGCGAGCTAGGTTTGTTTTGAAATGCTTGCTTGAGAGTGCAAATCAAAGTCTAGACAATGATAAAACAGTATCGCCACCTATTAGACGTAATCAAATAGTGATAATGTCTCAGCTTTACATAGAAAATGAACGAGAAACGTCGAGAAGATGTTTGTTAGCTGAACAGAGCGATTGCCAGCGTTGATAAGTGGCTGTATGAACATTAGATCTCTTATATACTAGTAAGGAAACTGGCTTTGCCTCGGGGCCCCGTAACCGCTCGGCTCTAGTCCAACCCTATCTGGTTTTTTAGGCGCATAATCTAAGGCTAACAATGCTTATCACCGTGATCTTACGCAAATGCTTAAAATGAACTTATGGTGGGTGCTATAAGAACAAACTGAGCATTCAAATTATTGTAGGTCTCAATAGGTAATGAATGAACCTTGAAAGGAGTAGGACCAAAAGAAAGTCGAAGAAGATGAGAGGAAAGACAGGCGAAGAAAGACTAGGCGAAGTATTATAGAAGAGAAGTACAAGTGGTGGCTGTACGGGTTTTATGTGCAGATATTTGTGAAAAAAACTTTGGTATTCTCAGATAGTTTGCAAATTGCTGTTCCCCCTTTTCTCCCTTTTTTCTAAAAGATTTTGCAACTTACTGGAGAAATGTTGGGGGGTTCAAAAGCTTTGTCAGTGGTAGACAAAAACTTAAAGCTGTAATCTAATGCAGAATTTCTTCCTCTTTCCAGCTGTCACATCAACAATGTGTTTCATTTAGATAGTATTGGAAATATTTGCGGGGCTTTACAACCCTTCTTTTTCACCATCTCTGAATTTTGCCAATTTTCGGAATTGCTATCTGAGACCTCTGGGGGAGCTAGATAGGGCAAACTTTTTGCCAACTAAAGCATTTTTTTGTATGTAGCTCTGCGGCTTGTCTTTCAGAATCCCTAAAACATATTTTTTAGGATAACCGACTTTCATATTCGGCCTATTTTAACCTCGAGGAACATCCATTCAATGCAACTTTTTCTCCTCTTCCTAACAGCCGTCTTTTCATGGCGGGATCCGCGAAATTTGCAAGGAATGCAGTGTTTCGCAATCTGACGAGTGCGCACTGACTTACCCTAAGTTTCAACATCCTCAAATTTTAAAGCGAATATTGATTACCTTGTAAAGTTAGTAATACTAAGAGTCGTGCGTTGAATCACCAGTATTCTGAAAAATTTTGCGGTGTTTGGTGCAATATCCAGGTTGTGCAATTTTTCCATTTAAGACTTTTGGAAAATATTATAGCAAAATTCTGAATGAGCAGTTGAAACAAAAGAGAAAAAGCTGCTACGGTTGGCAAAAAGTTTCCCCTACCTGCTGGCTATCGAAGCTTCCCCAAAAGTCTCAAATGACAATTGTAAAAATTAGCGAAAATTGGACATGACGAAGACGAAGTGTTTCAATTTCCAGCGATTATCACAGTACTCTCTCAACGAATCATATTGGCTATGCAGCAGCTGAAAAGAGGAAGAAATTCTGCATTAGCTATAGCTTGGAATATTTGTTTACGTCTATTTTACCGTACTTGCTGGTGGATTCAAGAAACTGAGATTTTAGGCCGACCTAATATAATCATTATAACTTATTATGTCCAAAATATAAATGAGTCAAAATAAAAAAATAAATAGAATTATAATAAATGATGATATTAGGTTGTCCCGAAAGTTTTGTCGGTTTCTTTCATCGCTCACCAAAACTCACAGAACGCCAATCCATAAACGATCTAGGTATCAAACTATTCAGGTTCTTATCCTCTTTCTAACAGCTATATTTGTTTTCTGATCTACCGCGTCTTTGCGATGTTATCGCCATGGCTTTTTGAGCACCTAAGCAGTAGCGACAAATCTTTCCTGAATTTTAAAAATTTTTATACTGATATTTTCGGAGGGCGCTGGTGACTATTATGTAGAGCAAACCTTTGGCTACATTGTACCTATTTTAGATTATGTGAGCCACGTTTATTAAGTCCGTTATGATTATCTATTTAATGAAAACCGCAGCTTTTTGATTACGTTTACAACGTAAAAGTACCGAAAATTCAAAAAAAGCTGATTTTGAAGCAAATCAAACTTGGTTAGGTTGCATAAATGATGTTTGATAGCAATCAAGCTTGAATTCGCAGAGACTTCAAAAGTTTTCTTGCTTTTGCTGCAGTTGCGCGTTTCATGACTTTGCTAAAAATCAAGGCCTTCGAAGAAAAAATTTTTCAAAGCTAGATACAGCAGATTAGGAAGATATGAGATCCTTATCTTGTAGCCCGAGAACTGCTCTATTTGACCCATACTTGATCCTTTCCGGAACTTTGGCATGAGATTTCTTAAAATTAGCCTAACTTTGAGCAGATAAAATTGACGGGTGGAGAATTTTGGCAATTATTAAAAAAAGCGTGCAAGATTGTGGTTCCAAAATGCATCCATAAGAAAGAGAAGGAAAAGCTGCATCGAATGCAAATTAGAACTCATTCGAGTCTTTATTGTGCGTGGTTTTATAATTGTTTGAAAAAACCGACAAAACTTTCGGGACAACCTAATATAATAGGGATTGGATTATGTCGAGAAATGAAATTCACTTGAACAAACGATTAAAGGCCTTACTCACTTTCACCCAACCTTGAGCCGGCCAAGTAAAAGTACAACTTTCTCTGTATTTGAAAAAAGTAGCACTTGAGTTGATAATTATGACGATCGCTTTCAACTCATGCACTAAAACTTGCTTGATCGATCTTTCGGAAAAAAGTATATGGTTGTGCATCTGAGAGATTTTTTCCTATATTTTGCTTGCGAACAGTACAGTGCAAAGTTTGGGCTTTAGTAGTAAGTTCGGACCGTCAGTGCTAGTTCGACATAAATATCGAATTACAAATTTTGTATGAGTGAATTAGTGGGAAGCAAAGTATCAGAAAGTCTTGTTGCCGAAAGAATCATCGTTTCAATCCTGATAGTAATCCAGAAGCGTGAGGGTTGATCTAAGGCCCCGGACAGACTTCACGCGATTTGATCGTTCATTTTCATTTCACATTCAAAAATTTCGGGCTGGAAAAGTATCACAACCGAAATGCAAGTTTATCGGCATGGAATGATGTTGTAACAGTTGTCTCGTCGCGATTCAGTCGCTACGATCAAATCGCGTGAAGTCTGTCCGGGGCCTAAAGCTATTAACTGTCCAAAATGTTTCACTGCTTACCTAGGCTATAAGGGATGAAGGTGTAGATAAAGCTTGTAACGGCCTTACTACGGCGGAAGCTTGATAATAAATCACAATTCAATAGAAACTATATTAAAAACGCCATTATCCAGAGTCTTTCCTTTCTTTCCTGTCTCCGAAATGCCTGGAGAGATGATTTTCTTTATAGTACATAGTAACCTTTGCTTCAATGGGATTGTCGGCTGAAAGGCGGAGCTCTGTTACCTAATTGAGACCTCTCACGCCGCCACGCAGTCTGCGTCTCTCTGACGCGCATGCTCTCTAATCATTCCTAAGCTTGAACCAGTTCACGAAGCTCCGCCTTCCAGCAGCCAATCCAGTCTAATCAAAGGGTATGTAGCAGGCAAAAATCAGTTGATTTGGCAGTGCATAGGTCAGTACTTGGCGGATTCATCCTACTTTAACGTGGGCTAAGTATTGCTTACCGTGTGCCTAAAAGGTTGAGGAAACAGAACTGAAAGTTTTTGACTTTCATAGATTAACAGCAACGACAGCGATTTGAAATATCAAACAGTTTATCTAAATGCGATTGTATAAAGTACGAAGGTGGTGCGGACAATTTTCTGACCTTTACTACTTTCTTAATAAAAAAGAAACTCTGCAACTCTTGTGAATGAGCAGATAGAACAGTGTGAAAAGTATGAGTAAAGTCACTTTGCTCTTCGCTTTGAGAAAATAATATGCTTTGAAACAAGCTTTCTTGAAACATTCATTATATCACAAGCGAAGTCGCGCTCTTTGCTTGCAGGAGATACTTTGTCACTACCATTAATTTCAGAATCAACGAATTAGGGATAAACAGGAAATTATATGCCGAATGGAAACGGAAAAAAATAATGGGAAAATTACGGAGTAGTTTATAAGAAAAAAGCTTTGAATTCATGTTTGGCACGTAGGTGGTAGATACATGGAAGTTAGCCAGTTCGGCTTCAGAATTCTTGATAAGACACGTAGGCTGGAAACTGAACTCTTATGTGTATATGGAAAGCTCGCGACAGGCTTTCTCCCTGAAATCTTGACTTCACTGAGATTTCGCCTCGTAAACCTACTTTCGACGAGTTTTTACCACCAACTAGGGCAACGACACATCCGGTTTTTTTGCATACATTTTGAGAATAATTCTAAAAACTGTATCGTTAGAAGTCTCGACGACTTCTGATCCTTGTTGTCAACATGCCAGTTAATCGCTATTCATTGGTTTGCCTTTCGCTTTCGCTAACAGAACAGGATGTGGATTTTGTTGTTAAGTATGTAATGCGATGTGTGACTGTTGGTTGACGCAGAGCTCGATTTCATCTAGTCTTGGATGATGGCGGGACGCTTCAGACTTAGATAGATTTTGCTTTCGTTTAGTTATTTGAAGATTTTGTGACTTAACGTATTACATAGTACTATGTACATTATCATTATGATATCAATCGCTTCCAACAAAATTTGAATAAATTGTCTGTCAATATTTTTCCAGCTAGCTGCACGGGTCCCAAATTTGGGAGAATTTGATTATGCTGATGCTTAGATTTTATGTAGAAAAATAAAAGCTTTGATAGGTACTAAATAGTAGTTATGTGAAAAGTTCGGTAAGTTTCCATTCTGTCACACTTACTCAGACAAATCACCGGAACTTCCGTAGGACAAGCCAA